TGACCACGATGTATAGAAGAGCACCCACCAGGCTCTGGAACTCGTCGTTTCTGGGCATGGGCTCCAGAGGAGGGAGTCAATACGACCGGTTGGGTTGAAACATGAGACTAAACTAGACTTTATTGATGCAGTACTGAGATTTGTAGCATACTAGGATTATTATTATTTCACCGAGTTGCTTCGATCTCCTTCATATTGAAAGGGCCAGCGTTATTAGTTTCGCGCTTCGCAGTTCACCCATAGAGGTAACTCTAAGACTAGTAGGTCCCGAAAACATGTGTTCAACTTTTTGGCTCAGCTCTGGTACTCACTTCGGTCCCAAGCTAATCAATGCGCCCCTCGAAACATAAGAAAATCCACGAACCCCTCATTTCATCTGTCAAACTTTCATAGCGAATCAAAACAATTATTGTGTAGTAGTAGAATTTTGACTAGAATGAGGTGCGTTAATCGATTTGCTTGGGACCACTGGGCAAGTCAAGTAGTGAGCCAATTTAAAATCGTTAGTTTGCACCGGTTGGTTAACCTGCGAATCTGTCAGAAAAACATCGATATTTCTGCTGAGAGATCCAGATCATCATCCATTGCCTCGTCTAACAGGCCAAACGGTTTCAGTTTTGGCATTTTGCCACAAATCTACGTCATGGATGTAGCAATGTTTGGAGCTACAACGTGTTGATCATGTCAGAGAAAATACGCTTAAAACTGGAATGCGCGGGACTTTGAAGACCGATTTCTTCAGTAGAAAAGCGGAGGCCTTTGAAAAGCCTCGCTATGTGTATGACTTGAGCTTGAGTTATTTAATATCTGGCCCCGTAAAAAAAAATGTATTTCTGAACCATCTTAATGAAATAAAAATGTGAATTCTCAAAATGAAGGTCATTTATTGCACTTTAAAGGAAAAATAGCAAACAAATTATTCCGATTTGGCTTTGATGAAATCTCGAACTTTTCTTCGAAAACCATTCATCATATTTTGGACACTCTGTTGACTAACCTGACCGGCTGTTTTGTTCCACCATCTCTATCGCATCCCGAGTCACCTTTCAACTCGTCTTCAACTTCTGTTTGACAAATGCCCAATATTTCTCAATTGGGCGGAATTGAGGGCAGTTCGAAGAAATCTACTCCGTTGTCTCGATACCACTGTAGAACTTCTCCGCTGTAGTAGCAGCTTGCCAAATCAGGCTAAAACTTTAGGTCCATTGTGAGCCTTAATGGACGGAAGAATATGTTTTTTTCAGGCACTCCTGCTTGTACATTTTGAAATCCATAGTCTTGTATGTATGTATGAAGGGTAGAGAACTACTTCGGCCTAATCGCCCATTTTGCAGAAAACATCAAATAAATCCATGATTTCAGAATTAACAAGTCAATTATACGTTTGGTACGATACTTTAGTTAATAAGCCACGGAACGAAGTCAATGAGAACGCGTGATATGAAGGTTTGCACCCATTATTCCCAAAAACAAAAGAAGCGCTCCGACCGAATCAATTGTTATCTTCATCCGATAGGTCGAAGTGAATTCATTGGTGTTTCAATGGCGTGCGTTAGGCTGAGTTTAAAATCTACAGGCCGAGTTTGGCGTCAAGAAGCAGAGTTAGACTTTTGACAATATCTCAACGATTGGTTTCTCTTTATCAAATCTTACGGAAAGGTAAATAAATTTGGAAGCCATCAGTAATAATAACATTCCGTTTGGTGCTAAACTGCGCTAGATTAAGAAAGAATAAGTGCGGGTTGTGCTTAATAGGCCGGAAATGGGGTAGTTAACCCTATGTATGTAAGGTAGCCCCCACATTTTGAAATCCATAGTCTTGTTTGTCACGAAAACCGATGCAGGAAAAATTGTGTTTTGCTGTGTTTAGCTGCACGCACACTGAGTAGATAGAAAGAAGATTGATGACGATTCTGAAGATTTCCTGCAAAAAGATGATGTGTGATGCAAGTAGATGTGAGAAATGATTGAAGATTTTTCGAAGATTGATTCGCTAGTGTGAGATTTGTTGAGCATCTAGAATTGTGATTTAAATGTGTCGCCCCCCTCGAAGAAAACCTGGGTTTTTTGTCCGTAGCTGCAAATACCTTGCCAGATTATAAAAGAAAACTTATTTGCTATATTTGCCAATTTATCAGCAAAAACGATGTGATCTTGCTAGGGACATTACCTCGACCAGTGGCTTTATAGAACTTTTGTCCGGGAAGCTGCCCATAATCCATCTTCGCGTACGTTTCGTCGTCCATGAGGATGCATCCTTCGTACTTTGTAAGAACTTCATTGTACAACTTCCGGACACGTCTTTTGGCCACTAGATTCTGCTTCAGCACTGAAAGCGGAAACATTTCAAAACAAACTGCTGTCAAAACATTCAAGATCTGACCCCTAGGAACACTGCAGTAAAATAAACAGTGCGTCCAGATATTAAATGACTCAAGCTTTATCTGGATAGTACAGACACAGTAGCTAAAAATATTTCCAATAGCATAGACCACCCTCCAAGTTTAGAGATCGCACAAATCTGGATCAACAATAGAAAAGGGCCCATCAGCATTTGTAAACAAGCTCTTTACTCACAAAGCGAAGGCCACCCACGCACACCAACACCATCATCGGATAGGGGAAACTTCTATCTACACGATGATGGTGTTGGTTTGTATGGGCGGCCTTCGATTTGTGAGGAATGGGCTTTGGAACGGTTTGTTTACAAATGCTGATGGGCCCTTTTCTATTGTTGATCCAGAAATGGTTTGAAGTTTGTATGGGGATTAAAGGGTGGAACGGTCAAAAATTGGTCGACTCGAATTTGGCGATTTTTTTTTTAATCGTGCTTTTTTAAAACTTGAATACCCCTCATTTTGTAGGTCTGTGCGTACAAAATGTTGCCTCTATTTTGTTTTTACCATTTTCCATTCAGTTGTCAAAATGGCGTCGAAGCAAGAGGAACAGCGTATCAAAATTTTGCTCGCGCATAAGCGAAATCCAAATACTTTCCACGCAGATTGATTGCGTTATAATGAACGATGAAATATACGTCAAGGCAGATTTTAAACAGCTCCCAGGTCAAGAGTTTACACGGCAAGCGGAAAAGGAAAGATTCAAGATACCTTTAAACAGAAAAAGTTGTCAAAGCTCCCGAAAAAATACTTGGTTTGGCAGGCGATTTGCACCTGTGGGCTGAAAAGCAAAATTTCCGTCAACCAAGATATTTATGAAAATATATGTTTTTCAAAAACGATTGTTGCCTTTTTTGAAGAAACACAGTTGTTCCGTGCTGTTTTGGCTACGGGAAAATGGAAAATGGCTCAGGAACGGTATACCACCAACAACATGCAAGTCGTACCCAAGGAAAAAATCCCAGCTGCACCCAATTAAAAAATATTGGGCTATCGTTAAACGAAACCTCAATAAAACTAAGAAAACTGTTGGAAATGAGAAACACAACAGTTGTAAATTCGGAAGCCTAATAAAATTAATTTTCAAAAAGAAATACAGTTCGATTGCTTATTCAATAACATAATCAGTGTGCACTTAATCATGATGGACCAAATTTTGACCGTTCCACCCTTTACTATGGACGCAGAATACAAATCTCGCGCAACACGAGGAAAGGGCTGTTGTTGATCGATTCTCTTCATCGATTTTCTCTTTCGCGAATAACCCGACTGCAAATGAATTTTCCAGTGAGTGTGTTGTATTAGGCGCAAGCTAACATAATCTTCTGTCGAACTGTGCTGCGAGCTTAGCGAGAAATTCGTTTATGTAGCCGTGGTAAACCAAAGAGATTGATTGATTTCTTTATTATAGAGACTTTCAGCCGTTGACTGGTTCGTCTCTGCGCCAAAGAGAAAGTCGATGAAGAGAATCGATTAACGGGGATAGGCCCTTTTCTAATGTTACGCGAGAAATATCGCTCTAACATAACAACATTGTAAAAATTGAGTATGTAGCTGCTTTGACAATGATAAATCCGTATGTTTTTGTTACGGTCAGTATGTAAGCATTTCAAGAAAAAAAATGTGAGAAAATGACGAAATAGGATAAAGTGATATTTAAATATGTACCTGACAACAACATCGATTTCAACAAGACTTGTTTAACGTTATCATGGCAAACACATATTCTACTCTGACAGCATTCCTACATTGAACGATGTAAGTGAAATTCAAAAATCTAAATAAGGCCTAAAACGCAAAATGGATCTGGAATTCAATTTTTAAATATAATCTATTAAATATATTCAAAGGGTAGGGGGGTTGTTTTTGTAAACAATGCATCGTCAGTTTGGCGTAACTGGTAGCTCACTCATGCGTACTAACACCACTATCAGGTTGAGGAAAATCGCCCGTATCTGATGGTAGTGTTAGCATGTAATGTTGACGTAAGCAGAAACGTCCCTTTGAAAAAGTAATCGAGAATTATCATTTTCTAATCTATCGTTATAATGTAATCTGCAATTTAAGGTTACTCTTATATAAATAAATAAATAAGATATAATGTAGAATCTTCTCCGAAAACGTTAGTTACAAAAAGGGTCCCACAAAAACTCCACAGTTCAACAAAAAGATCACAATTCTTCATCAACATTTCAAAAGGACGAAACTGCTGACTTTTGCCGTCGAGTTCTCGTAAGTTAAAGCTCGCACATGCAAACTAATAACACCATCATCAAGTATGGATATGATTCCTCTACCAGCTGGTATTGTTAGTTTGCAGCAGTGAGCAATTATTTGCGAGAAATCGGCGATTGAAGTCATTGTTTACAAAAGCAGTTCCGCCGTAATAGAATGTTGGCATCGAATTGTACCACGATAAGTCGGACGAGTCCTACCCAGAAGGACGCGTCTTCTTTCTGCTTTTTTTCATTGGCACATATTCTAGTCCAGAAGACTGTAATGGAAGCTTTTCAAATAGCTGCCAATCAACTTTTAAGCCACTGAAAAAAACTGAAATAGCCCAAAATCGAACCCCTCCTCTCCCCCCAACGCTATCCTACCTACCTTCCTATCACCTCACAAAGCTCGTAAACATCGTCGAAGAGAATTTCGTCGTCAGCCATGGTGATAACGTTTTTACTTCTTCTTCTTCTTGTTGTTGTTGTTGTTGTTGTTGTTGCTGCTGCTGCTGCTGCTGTTATCGTTTATCTTCTATTAATAAATTCAAAGATGCGCCTGTCTATTTACACAAACTTGTATTTTTCTCCTTATGCTCGCTAAGCACTTTCACACAGAGCTTGATAGATTTTTTGTTGTTGTTGTTGTTATTTCTAATTTCGGTTGATTACGATTCTTCACGATTTGCTTTTTCTTTCTAAACGCAATGGAGCGCTTACGAAGCACTTTTTCACCGGAATTTCGTTATCACCTCAACGTAGTCGGTCTTCTTTATTCATCATTCAATATTTGCTTATGATAATAAACAACTCGTCTCGTGCGACACCCGACTTCTGAAATTCGACTCGATGATTTTCGATTTCGCTGGTGTAGTTTTTCAAGTTTGTAACAATTTCCTATTTCCGAAGCGGCTCGCTCGCGGCAATGGCAATTGAATTTCCAGCTCAGAATGGGGTCTCTGATGTAATTAAGCGCGAACACAGAGATTTTTATTACCCAGTTGCTCGTCTCAGTTTAGTGCCAGCACCACCCCGTAGTTGGTAGGTGGGTAAACAAATTTTCCCAGCGTAAATAAATCACTGCACAGTTGGCCAATGGTGCACCAGTGACACGTACGGAAAACACACGGAAAGGGAAAGGAAAACAAAAATAAAATAAACTCGAAAAAAGCACACGCTCTCGACACCGGAAAGATAATTCCAGTCACGCACACGAAAGTCCCGCGTTACGCCGGATAAACACCGTAGAAAAATGTTCCGCACTTCCTGATTCGATCAGGTAGCGCCACTATACGAGCACAAAAATAGAGCTATAGACTTATACCGGTGGCTGGCACAGTAATCTTCACTTTCGCCTAGATTCGTTCGCCGAAAGGGGGTCCTGCGGTGAGAGGCTCTCCTGAAATGATGTCCAACAGCGCCGTGCCTCCACCGCGTGTCCAGCAGTCTCTTTGAACAAGGACAGAGAAAGAGCACGAGTACCAGCCGGGTGGGTTCACCACGCTGACACCCGGGGAACAGGTCCTTGGCACAGGTACCCTCTGTAGAACCGGTGTGTCTGCTCGATTCGGGTTCTCCTGTAACACTGACCGACAAAGTCGTGCGAACGTCGGTGGCAGCTTCCTTGCGATAATCCTGGGACCGCAAATCTGGCTCGTTGTTTTTCACCGATACCAACGAATAGTGGGTGGGTAACTCACAGTCACACTTACACACGTGTCACGCCGGGGATTACAACTTACAATTCCGTTACTCACACGTGCGCTATTCCAGGGCACTCACAAATTGTTTACCGCACGCTTTTAGCACTCGGTAGCTCACCTTCGCTCTCGCTCCTGTTTCCTTTCGCCACTGAGATACCACTGCTGCGAGGAGTTTTCCACTTTTCCAACCCTCAGTCACTCCACATGCGGGGACGCTTTTCCTGTCCCCCTGCACAAACACATACACAACACAAATACAATAGGCTGTATTTTACTGCTTCTGTCAAATCTCTACGGCTCTAATGATCAATTACTGTCTGTCTATGTCTACCAATTATATTCGGTGGCCACACAAAACATCCCGTTCGCGAAAAAAAAAATAATCACTACCAATCAATCCATGACGGTGAGAGATCCGTAGCACGCTCCAAAATTCGTATCTTTGTCAGCAGACGACCTTCTTACCCAATCCGTGCCTAGGTACATCGGAGGGTGGGGCGTTTTTTCGCCTGATTCGCTCCAGGAAAACTTCAAGTAAAAACCCACACCACCTCTTTCAGCCTGTCACAATTCACAGTTCAAGATCGCTTTCGCGGTGAATCAATTCCAAGATATCGAGGAAAACTGAAGGAAGCACACTCGCATTAACAATAACTAGCCACGGTCGGACGGTGAAAATTCCGAACCGTCAGAAGAGTCGCAACCAAAAAACACAAAAGCACCGCACACCGATTGAAGATTTCTTCCGCCCTCTCTATATCCACCTGTGCGGGTTGGTCCGTCAATATCCGACGAATTGAACCGACCTCAAGCACAATCAGCTCCCTAGCAGACACCAAAATCAGCCAGATTCCGCACTCTACGTGACTTTGAACCGTCGAAAGGGAGGAAAACACACATCACAAGCGTAACCTTAGAGTGAAAACTCCACAATCCATGGAAACGGGAGAAGCTGCCCCGAGATTTCCAAATCGAACAATCTCTCACACAAGTCACTCAGTCACAGATTCGCCAACCGAAAACCGTCGTCAGCCAGTAAAAGGAGGTGCACTCATTTTCACAGGGGCGAGTTCTCTGCGAAGCAAGCAAGATCCTGACCCGTCGTGAGACCCCGTTTTTAGGAGCGGGTGGGAGTGGTTCTCACGCTTTTCCTGTTGGGATTGGGAGGAAAAATTCTCATACGCGCACACACACCACGAAACAAAATTACTCTACGTCCGATTCCGAATCGGTCAACCACTTTGCACTTGCACCGACGACGTTGTGTTTACGCAAACGATATGCCACTTGTTTTAATTTTTTGACCTACACAATTTCAAGCACCACCCACTTTTCACGAGACCGTGAACCTGTACGATTCTCTTCTCTCCTGTGTTCGACACCGCACTCGATCGAAGGAAAATGCTTCTGGGCCTGGCTGAGAAAGAATCTTGTCAGAATCCAACGAAGACGAACCGAAAGTGTAGGTAGTCAACACTGTAACACGGAGTAAGCGAATTTGGGGATGTAAATAAAGTAGACCGAAAACATCTGGGGTGAATGGGACGGGATGTACAACAGACCTTCGGCCGCCGTAAGACGGACAGAGACCGGACGATACGAACGTCAAATTGATAACAGAGGCTTGTGCGCATGACGTGTGCAGCTGCAGTGATTCGGTTTCTTGTTGGAATGGTTCGAGTATCAGCTGTTGTCGAACTGGTCTAGATCACATATGGCGGTGTTGGCAGATTTCATATTGGAAATTGGATTGATCAACCCGCTGAGATCAGGAAACTTAGACGAAGTAAGAGGACTTTTGAGAAGTTGTGAGAACTAGTTTAATTACAGAGAAAATTCTGAGAACACCAGATAAATTCTTTGACAATCAGAGAACCTCGTAGAACATCAGGGAGCCACGTAGAATTCCAGGGAACTTCACAGAACTTAGGAAATTTCCTAAAAGCTCAGGAAATTCACCCAAATGCGCAACTGTTCATGACTGGAGTTCAGGAAATTTCTTAAAAGTGCAAGATCTTGGTAAAAGTTCAAGGACCTTTCAAGGGCTTCAAGGAACATGGTAAAAGTCAAAGAAATTTGGGAAAAGATCTTGGAGCGTGGCAGCTCAATAAAGATTGGGGAAGTTCAAAACGCGTTGTAAACGTTTAGAGTAGAGTCGGTGTATAATGAGTCACGACAAGAGAAAAACAGTTGAACTCGCATCACGGTTTTCGAAAGATTCCCTTTCTTTTCACTTGGCAACAGAGGACTGCTACATCAACTTCAAATGACTTCTAGCGAGCAAAAAAATAGCGGCTGTTGTAAATCATTCTATCAGTGATTTTGTCCAATCATCTTAACAAAAAATAGTAGAAATTCTCATTACTGACGTTACCAAACGTATCCCATGACAATTTAATGCTCACTGCGTGTTTATGATCATTTCTTCGATTATATTTTATATTTTATTGCGATACCTTTCGTGGACCTTTCATAGCATCGTAATGTTTGTTTACTTTGCACGATAGGTAGCCAGTTTGACAGTCCAATAGGTAGACTTGGCTTCACTCTTGGCGTGACATTATACACCGACTCTAGTTTAGAGTACTGCATAGCAGCTCAGGAAACTTCCTTCATATTTCAGACGTAACGAACGACACAAAAGTTATAGCAACCCCTAAACTGATACGCTGATACTCTTAAACTTAAACGAAGTTTTCTGAGGGTGGTAAGCTCTAACCGGTATTATCCTCGGATTAAATCCCGACCACTCATATCGGGCTGTTTTGTTGTCGACGTCAATGTTTTCAATACGATCCTTAACATACATTTTCCAAATCCTCCAATCAGGGCCGGTATTCAAAATTAATTCGAGTTGTGGATTATCAGTTTGAATGTCTACGAAGTTTCCTTTCAATGATGAAATCAGGCGTGTGTGTAAGGCCCTTTACACGCGAACCAACAACATCATGCCGTCCTTAACACTTCCGTCTGTATCAATGGTACATCTGTTCCCAATCAGGAGGTCAGCCCGTATCCTCGGAGTCCGAATCGACCGACGTTTGACCTTTTATGCCAATCTTCGACGAAGTGAACGCCTGCAAGACTCGTCTTAATCTTCTACGATCCATCGTAGGTCGACACCCAGACAGTAAACGGCCCATCCGGCTTCGAGTTGCTAGATCAATTCTGGAATCATGTCTCCTATACTGCCTATAATAGGATATCAGTCCCAAATGGATTTTCGTCAATTTTGAGATAACAACGCTATCCACTATCAATTGGCATTTACTTTCATATTACGTAATAAAACTAGGGACTTTTATCGTAAAAAATGTGAAAACAATATCATGTCAGTTTGTCCCATTAAGCAAAATAATCGCATATCAGTGTCATCCTGAAATTCAATCGTCCATAGTTCAAGTTAAAGTTCTGCTGTTTGCTGATAGGGAAAATGCATGTAATGTCGGCCTAAGTGTCCCTAATTTGGGCCCATACATAAATTCAGCAATAGACTAAACTTTCAATAGCGACCAAAAATATCCATTAGTACCGTCCCAATAGGTCGTATGAATAAAAGCGTTTACTTTACTTTTCCCGTAAGAAAAGCACGGGAAAATAAAAAAAACTCTTTTTATTCATACGCCCAATGACGCTTTCATCTGTAGATAAATTGGATAAATGCCAGATTTATAGCGATGGGCCTAGATCCATATAGGTTAATATTAGAGCCATTTCCCCTATAACAAAACATGCAATCTTCATCGCAACTGATCATATATTATATTATCAAAGAATTTACTATGATTTTTCAAATATTTACATAGGAATTGCACTTCGTAGCTTCGACAGTCATTTTCTCAATGCCTTTATATAGGCGAGGAGGTCGCGGGGGGGGGGGGGAGTGCGGTTTTAGAGCAAATTGTAAACAAACTCGGTCGCTGTCCCATACAAAAATCCAACATTACTGAATCATGAATTTGACACATTAGAACACCTACACTAAACGAAAATCAATTAATTATAAGATTTGAGTAGAAGCTATACTGAAGATCGGAGAGATGTCGCCCCTTCAGTGGTAGGAAAGTCATTTTTGCAGTATGGAGAATATCAGAAAATCCACGATTTGTGACTAAACATGCTTTCACAGAAGGAAACAAATAAACGAGTGTTTACCTTATCACCATAGTAATGTACTCGTGCAATTTTTGTGCATCTAAAACTGCCCATAAAGTGGATAATGAATAAAAACTGAAAATTTCCATGCATTTTCAAATGGTTTCCTACCATTCCCATATATTCGAAGTGACTGGCCCTCTGGATGTGGATGATGTCAAAAACAACAAAACATGATTAATTATTGAAAGATTGCCGCAAAAGCTCAACGCAGATGTCGCCACTGCATGATGATGATAATGTTGACAGACTGCATATAAAATTCGTGAAAATTAGCGTTAAATCATAATTTTCATCAAGCCTGCGTGAAATCCTTCCAATATAACATTCGAATTGAAGAAGAAAACGTTTTTACGATCAGACTGATGTGCAGCTTTGACTTTTCCAGGTGAACTTTCATAAGATATATTCATTTCATTTCACGGCTCCATCAATGCTGCATCGTAAATATGATGGTAAACAAAAGTAAATTGCTCAATTACTCAAAATAAAGATGATTTGTCATCTTGTTATCACTTTGAAGACCATCTAGCACCATTTTATAGTATGGTGCGTGTTGAGTAAATCAAGCTCCGGAGCGTTTTTCGTCAAAAATTGTGAGTATCAATATGTTTGCTTAAAAAAGGCCAAAATGAGCATTTATTGAATTTGGCGTCCCATACAACCAATTCTCTTTTACCACTAGCATGATACAACCTTTCCTAAGCAAATTCACTTGATTTCCACTTTCATCTTAGTGAAAATCGCACATATTAACCATTTTCTGGAAAATGCAGCTGCGCAGGAGGTAACCTCTCCCTGTGGGTGCAAACTTGTTATGCATAATTTGCCATGAAAACATCTCTGATCCATACCGAAATAATAACAAATAGTTTTCAAACACGTTTTCTTACACGATTCAAGCAAAAGTTTCCACGGGAAATTATTAGTTTTTCTTTATGGACCGATTTGCCCCAAAAAGCGTCTGTTTTGCTTGGAAAATTTGAAAACTATCCTCCTTCTAGTAGTTCTCACTTCGAAATGTAGGTGGCGAAAGCTTGGAAAAGTTTCACTGCAAGACGCCAATTTTGTTCATGTGTTTCACTTATACATTTTTGACAAAACATTAGCCTTATACATTCCATAAGACAAAACACATAGGTCCTATAAGAATGCATAAAAGGTATGTGTGACCGCTTGTACATTTCATTTGACACATGATATTCATTAACTTTTTACTAAAGAGCCTGGATTTATAAAGAGGTGACATGTCAAAATTGGAACAATCGATTGTCTGTCAAAGTCATAGGAAAAGTCATTCCAATCGAGCAGAAGACCTGTCAAATGGATAAGATGTCGCCCTCTTTATAAATTCAGGCTCTTTACTTTTTACAACTGTCATGTCAACTGGATGTCACGACAAAACTGAAAAACTTACTTAAATACTTTTACTTAGGCTGTGAACCATTTTTTTTTTTTTTTTTTTGTAAAAGTATTGTTTATTTCTGTGTTAAAACATTAATTTACACGTATTATTGTTCACAATCGATGTAAAAATTTAGGGCACTAACATCTATTCTATCGTTAACAGAATTAACATAGTCGATGTACAATAGACCTTTTTGACGTTTAATCATCTTTCTCTATCTAGCACACATGGATGAATGGACGGTTTTTTTTCCCACTAATCTGTTTCCCTCTTGCTCGCACTCCTTCAATTTAAATGCTGCATTAGTGTGCACCGATTAAACGTCAAAAAGCTCTATACAAAGATTTTCAAAATTTCGTTTAGTTTTCTTAGCCCTATGTTCAGAAGTTCTGGTCGAAGCAGATCCTCGATGGACAGCCTTTGCCAGCCACCGAGTATCGTCCGCTGAACTTGTGCTGCAATGTTTCAACCGTAGCGTTGCAGTGCAAGCAGCTCTCGCCGGCTGCCCGTTGGATGATCTTCATCAACCTTCTATGCTCCGTCTTCTCGTTGATCGCATATACAAGCTGCTCCGATGGCTTGATGACAGTTGTTTCGACCCGATATTCGTCCAAATACGTCTCCAGTTTGATCCAGGATATTTTCTCTCGACCCGTGGTGTATCTGTCCGCTCCAGAAGAACACGATGAATTTGGTCGCTGCACAGCAAAAAAAAAATGTAATATCGATGAATGTAATTCAAGCTGATGTATGAAATAATGATGTAATAGCAAAAAGCAGATACAATATTACATCAATGAATGTAATTTTGTTCGCAAAATCGATGTACATCGTACAACGTTATATTACACAACCGATGGATTGACCTGGTTGCAGCAGTTTGGATGTAATATTCA